TGGGTCCTATGTCCCTGCCAGAGGGCTTCCTCCCATGTCCCAAGCCAGCCGATTGTCTCCACCTTTCTCTTCCTACCAGGTCTACATCTTCTGCAGTGCCTCTGTCTGCTCCCCCTCAGGGCTGGAGACCTGCTCCACTACCTGTGGCTCCAGGACTGCAAGTGAGCCTGGGGTGGGGGTGTTCTGCATTCTTTTATACATCTGGTCCTGGTTTCTGGGACACTAGGGGCCTGGATACCAGCCTCAGGTGCCTCTCGTCCCCTGGCAGGACAGCGGCGATCCTCGAGTGGCCACAGTGACATCGCCGAGCCGCAGAACCTCGTGAGCTCCCCAGGGCCTGTGGGTTTTGTGGATTCGTACAGGACGGAAACCACGCTGGGGCCCTCAGGTACAAGGGCCTATGAGCAAGCCCCAGAGGCCTTGGCTGCTGGGGTGTGTTAGCAAAACAGGAAAGCTCCGGCCCTAGTAAGGGCAGGGGATGGTGTCATTCATTCAGTGGGAACGACAAAGACGGTGAGGTCCCGCAGCTTCAGTGCTGCCCCTGAGATCACAAAGGTCTGGGTGGAGGGGCCTCGCCCAGCCTCGACATCCTTCCCACCCTCTCTCTGCAGGCTCCACCGGGAACTCTGACCCGAGGCTTCCCTTCTGGGTGGTCCTTTTGCTGGTGGCTGTTGCCATGGTCCTAGGGATCGGTGTTTCCGTGGGCCTGAGTCAGGCCCAGGCCAGGAGGCTCCGGGAAGGCAACAGAGGGTGAACGGCTCAATAAACCGTCTTTTTAAACCCACTGAACACGGTGTGGAGAGCTTTGTGATGCCTAGAACAGAGTTCTTTCTTGCCCTAGAAACTTGTTCCTTAGGGTTGGTGCTGTCCTTTCCCAGTCGCCTCTATTACAAACACTGGGTAGAGTCCAGGGTCTCCCAAGCCTGGATTTGAAAGGTTCAGCAAGGAAAGGTGGCATTCCAGGCAGAGAGAACGGGACAAGCAAGGTAGAGGGAGGTAAAATCGTGGCCGAGTCATGAGCCACAGGAGCTGGGAATCGGGAACCTGACAGAGCTCATGGCCCGGGAGGGCCTGTCACCTCCCCACAGACACAGGAGTTGACTGGGCGCCTTCAAAGCACACTGCGTGGCTGCCGTCACAGCTAAGGGGAACCAAGAGTTCCTGGGGCCAAAAGAGCTGAACCCAACTCGAAGGGGCTGCTCCCAGTCCTGCTGAGTCTCCCACCTCCCACTGAAGGATGCAGGGTGACTTCTGAGCGCCAGCCTCCCTCTCTCCTTCCCTCGCCCCCCAGAACTAGTCCACACAGGACCAGTAGGCATGGGGGGGAACAGGCCCCCAGGCAGGTGGGTGCTGGAGCTGGCTGGGCTGCTGACCTATTTGCCCGTGTAGGACATGGCCTTCGTCTCGGACTGGGCAGCAAAGACCTTTCCAGACTGGCATACGGATCTTATATGCTGGGAATGGGGGTGGGAGGGTAGAAGGTTCAGAGCTGGGTTTCAGACACCCCTCTGGGCCTTCGGTAAGGTATGAGCCCAGAGAGCCCACACGAAGGGCACCTCGTACACAGGCCAGGCCAGGGGCCTTGACGCTGTGCAGGGCTCCCCCACTCGAGCCCCTTGCATCTCCTTTTCAGGCTACTGCTCAAACACAGGGCCCCTGCGCCAGGCTGCTTGAGTTACGACCCTGGCTCTGGCTCTTACTAGCTGTGTGATATTGACTTACTGAACTTTTCTGGGCCCCAGTTTCCTCATCTGTAAAATGGGACTAATACCTTTCCCTAGAGGGGTTACAGAACAGGTAGCCAATATTTACTGTTAACTACTAGAATGTATTCTTTCTCCTACCCCAAACTCAACGTTTTCCTCCCTCCCTCCCTCTTTTCCTCCCTCCCTTCCTTCCTTCCTTCCACAACTTTACAGCCCAAGATGAGGAGGGGCTAGAGGAAACTGCTGCCTTCAGTCTTTCTAGCTGGAGGCAGCAGAATAGGATGGGGGGGCAGGAAGATCCAGACCTTGCCATGGAAGCCAGTGAAGTAATGTCCTTACCTGGGACTGTCTTCCCATCTGTGGCTGGGGATGACAGCTCTGTCCCACTTCCTGGCCTGTACAAGGACTGCAGGATATGCTCTTTGAGGTTAGTGTGAGCCAAGGGAGAGCTCCTGGGCTGGTGTTGGCTGGAGGAGCGAGGCTGCCTGCTCTTAGAGGCCAGGGTTCTGGTTCCAACCCAGCGCCATCGCCTCCTTCCCACCACTCCCTTCAGCGTACAAGTGCATTCTAAGTGCTTCGGACACCACGAAGGTGCGTCTTTAAATGGCATTGATGCTGTGTTTAAGCAAAGCGAGATTCTTGGATACCAGTTAGAATCATGTAACTGACTTTTCTCTAACTTTATAACAGACATCTTGTGTCATTTCTTACTTTTAATAAAGTTTCCTCCACAATGTGGTTAAACTATGATATATTTGGTAGAAACCAAGTCTACTAAGGATAACAGGTGTTGAACACGATTATTTCAGCATGTAATTCTTTGTATACTATTTTATTTTCTTTTTTTTTTTTACACACAGAAAGATGTATATGATTTATTCAGTAAGAAAACTTAGCTACAGCATGGACAGTATGGCACCATTTGTTAAAAATACAAAAATAAAAATAAAAATCCACACATTTCCTCTGAGTACATATGTCTGTATAGAAGAAAACGAGAAGAAAAGGGTCTGCACAGATTCACCCCCAAGCATGGGACATGCAGCCTCTCATTGGTTAATGGAAAACAGTCAGCGTGCACGCAGAGTTTAAACTCCAGGCCCACCGTCACTGGGGCTTCACCCACTGTAGAGCCCTTTTTATTTTTATTTTTTAAAATTTATTGTTGAAAGTATTACAGGTGTCCATTTCCCCCCCCAAATGACCCCCTCCACCTCCCTCCCACCCCCTCTC